AGGTTTCCTTGTCATACATCCAACACTTCATTCAGAAAGGAAAGTTCAGGCTTCACCAAAACATTTCTGCCTCCTGTTAAACGTGGAATACTGAAAGTCAGTGGCAGACAGCAGTGGAATGATTGCTTCAGATACTGAAGTATATGATATTTCAAACAAAGGGTAGAGGGCTGAGACAGAAAGTTTAGGTGTGGTGTGCAGGAGCTCTTATCTGAATACACAGTCTTCGTTTTGGCTTTGGCTGAGATACAAGAAAATGCACATCTTAGCAGTCAGTAAAATCTGCTCCCAGAGGTCATGACCCCAGCTTCCCAAAGCCTTTCCTACTTTTAGGAATGTAGCTAGGTCCTTCACTGGAGGCAGGTCTTACCACAGCCATGTCTTATGTTCCTGTATGGTCTTTCCCAAACCCACCTGTGGGGCTCAAAGAGAGTCTGGATTCCTTTTGTCTTCCTTGGCAGTCTGGTGGTGACCTCTAGATTTCCTCACATTAAGCTTTTGTCTTTGACATCCTTGAGATCTTGAAAAGACCCTGAAACCAGTTCTATGCTTCACCATCAGTGTTGTTTTCCCCAGCTGTGGTACAATCAACAAGAAAAAATGACACAAATCTTGGCATTTTACAAGAGAAAAAAATTCCAAAGCATTTTGTGGTTTCACAATTGTGCCAATGTACAAATGTTCAAAAGTGATGAATAAGACCCCCAAAAAATCCTAGCACTGATCAACTTTAAAAGATTTTTTTTTTTTTCTTAATGGTTGTATTTGACTTCTTATCATTTCTCTTGTAGTTTTCAAGTCTTCAGGGCTCAGGACTTGGTTCATATTTTCAAGCTTTTGTTGTTCACAGCAATTTATGTCTGGAAAGGTATTTATTTTTTAACTGAAAACCTGTGATTTGTACACATAACTGCAGAACTCTGAGAGGAGTCATGGATCAACACAAAATATTCTGACACTCCGAGCTATTGCTGGAGTTTGTAGTATGGGTTCATTACCACTGTTCTAGTGGCTTCTTTGAAACAAGTAAGTATGGTTTTAAGGATGTTAGAAATTCAAGCAGGAAAAAAAAAAAAACTTAATAAAAAAGCCAGTAGCAAATAGCTGGTCTGCTATGACAAAGATGGTTCTTCAACTGTGTAAGGATTTGTGGGAAATTATTTTTCATGAGGTGTGTGCTAGTGATCTCTTTGATGCTTGCATCCCTGAGGAAGATATGTACATCTTTTAAAGTGTTCCTGGAGATATTCCCTGTGAATTCATGCTAGAATTCACAAAGTTTAGCATCAATTTTCTTTAGCTCTAAGCAACCTCTCAGATGTATTTCTCTTGCATTCTAAGTATAAAAGGCAGTGGCCAGTCAGTGAACCTGGAAAGTGGGGGCCTTGGATATATATTTTTTTTCCTCTTTTCTGCAAAAGAGAAGGGTTTCCTCATGTAAAAGGGACCAAAACAGCTGAGGAAGATAAGACTAAACCTGTGCAACATGCAGCAAAGATTCCTCTGAGAGGACCCAGTGGCTTAAGAAAGACCCTTTGAATGATCAATTCTCTTATGTTGTTCATTGATTTTCTCCTGGTTTTCCCTTATCTTTCCTTTCCTGTTGATATCTCTTTAATTGATTCCTGATTACAGATTACACCAGTTACAAACTGTTATTTGTCAAACAATGGAGCCAAGCTTCTCTCTGTGGCTTGGAAAAATGCATGAAGCTTTTGATAGTTTTGGGAGGTTCAAGCTGAACAAACTGTAGAGAGCATAAGATGATCTGGTGGTAATTGGCAAAGAAGGAATCTGTATAGAGTCTTCTTCAAGCAACTACCTTGTTTACACTCCCAGGCCTTTATACTGCTAGGAAATCCTGTATCCTGCAAGAATTACAATGCAGTAGAATCTGCAACTGAGTTCAAAATGTGCTTCTTGGACTCATTATCAACTTCAGCTCTGTTTGCAATGCTTAGCATATAAATTATTTAAATTAAACTAACTACATAAATTATTCAGGTTTCTTTCCCCCCCCTTATCTTTAACAGACACTGCAGAAGTTCAGTGCTAGTGGTGTCACACTTCACTGCCAATCAGATAGGAGTGTTAAAGGCATCTCACAACATTGGCAGTGCCTAAATGACCATGAGACTCTTAGGAGACAGCTACCAAAAGTTGAATGACAGTGACCCTGGAACAACCCACCACCAGTGATGGGCAGCGTTCTGCTCAGCAGTGTTGAAAGGAGGAAGTTACAAAGGGAATCAGAGGAGGAATGGTTGCTCTGGAATAGCTGCAATCTAATACTGCTGAATTCTTCCTGCTTTGCCTTTGGGTGTCTCCAGGGCTTGTTGCTCTTGCTGTAGGGAACCTGAGGCTGCCAACTGCCCTGCTGTGAGCAAACCCAGTGCAATGCTAAGGACCTTTCTCCTTAGCAGACACTACCTTGACCTGGCTCCCTTATCCCCTGGTGCAGTGCTTACAAACGTCAAAGGAATGTGGTCTTGATCTCCTCAGCTGCCTCCTTTCCTGCCATCTGCTGTATCACCTTCATGGCCACCATCCACAGTGGCTAGAATGAACCTCTGACTTGAAGGCATGTGCAAGCTGATGTTTGTTTAGGGCCTCAGCCAGGCATCTCTTTAGGTGTTTCACATGGGCAGGTATGGCTCCCAGCTCCAGGAGGGCAATAAATATAGAGACTGCTTTAGAGGGAGGGTTGTCAAGGGCTGGTTTGTGGATAGTGGTCAGAGAGAGGCAGCAATAAGGTGTAATTATAATAGGAAACATGAACACAGTCCTTCATTTCATTGGACTGTCTGGATTGCTCATTATACACAGGTATTTTCTTTCCTGTTTTGTTCTTGCTATTTTCTTAATTTCACAGTTCAAATATGATTTAAGAAAGCAGCCTCCACCATGTCCCCTGATTTTGCTCTGATTGATTTGTAAATCTCAGAGGACATGGTTGAGTTAGATTTCTGAGTGTGTCCAGACACTGTGATACATCACAGCTGTGGGGTTTGTGGGGGCCATATTTCAGCTGTAGGGAAACAAATAAATTCTTTTGTTCATCACAGTCCCCATGGACCATGCATGTGATGGTTCAATACAGGTTTAAATAATAGAAGACAAAATCCAAGATATTGATGACTACCTGTGTTTAGTCTTGAGTTAGTGTAGCTATCAAGGACTGACATCAATACAGGCTGGAGGGGAGTAAGATAAAGTTATAATAAATATATAAATCATTTGAAGGACATAAGGATGGGAATGTTGTGGTCCTTGTTGAAGGAAGAGGGGAGTACAGATCATACAGCAGGAGGACATGGGGCAAAATGCTTTCTCCTGAGACATGTGGTGAAGCATCAGAGCATCATCCCTTTTTTGCACAGCTTGAACATCCCTACAGACCAGGCAGCAGCGACACAGAAGAAGGGTATGGGCTTTTTGCCACTTCAGAGAATATGAACCTGCTAGAAAGGCAGGCTCAAGACTCAAATGGTATGCGTGTGATGGAGAGCACACTGCCACCCTCGTGACCTGACAGTAAGTCTCATGATACTTGGGGATTTCCAAGTACCCACAGCTCTTATGAGTATTTGTGCATATAAAAGCTTGTTTTTCTTTGATTTGAAAAGAGCCAAAGATTACATCCTGATCACAGGTTCTGGAGAACCTGAACTCTTAGCGCACAGAAGAGCAGAAAAAAACAAATTTTCCTCAGAGGAATCATTGAAAAACAAAGCAGAACAAGAATTATTTTAATCTTTCCTCATGATTCAGGGCAAGCAAGGAGTACATATTCTCCTACCTCATTTCTCAGCAGTTTGGGGTTGCTGAAATACAAGCAGGTGAGAGACATGTCATATTCATTAAAGATGGATGTGGCATGCTTCTTTCTTTTTAGGCCACCAAGAGATGACATTCTGTGTGTGGTGATAACTAAGAGGATAAGATGGTGTTTCTATTGGTTTCATGCTTGCCTGTATTGGAGTAGATAGACGTAATCACCCTGGAGATACTGTATTTACTTCTCTTTACTTATTTACTGTGTTTCTTTTATTTCACTTTAGGGGACTAGGCTGGAATTGACATTTCTTTCTCTTCAGCAGCAGCCTCCTCTCTCAATGCAGAGTCTCTGGGCACTGAGTTAAGCCAGACAGTGGAATGGACCTGCTGTAAATAGTGTTGATAAATTGGGTAGATAACACAGCATGGCCTGGTTTACCCCAGTGCACAGAGTAATAAAAAGGAGCTTCCGCCTCGGAAAGGTCACGGTATTGACAAGGGGAGCGATTGTGGGATGGCAGTTGTGAGACGCCTGTCACCAAAGTCAGTTTTCCACAGCAGATGCTGAAGGCTTTTTCCTCTCTTCCCTCACCACTGAGGGCATTTGATTTAGTGGAGCTAGGAAGCTTGTGAAGATGAGGATCCCTGATGCCAAAGAGAACTGAGCTGCAAGGCTCCCCAAACCCCTCAGCATCAGGCCAATCACAAAATGCCCAATTATGCAGGAACTTTTCCAACCTCACCAAGGTGGGCTAGATGCCCCAGGCCTGGCTTAAGTGTCTTTAAATGTTTTTTTTACCACATCCTGTGGAGCCACAAGGTCTTAGTGAGAGGGATGGTGTGGTGCCACCCATCAGTCACAATTCTGCCAAGCAGTTCAGGGGTTTCATGTGGAAATTTTAAAAAAGGTCCTTTTTTAATCCTGTGCTTATATTTCTCAGTTCATGCACAGGAGAGAACCATAACAGCCAGCAGAGGACCCACCTAATAGACATCATTGAAACATAATTTTGGAGATGCTAGATCAATTGTGGGCCACAGACACTGAGCAGAACTTGGGCCAGGTGCACCTGGAATGATGGAGATCAGCCAAAGAAATAGCTACAATAGATAATTAGGAGTCTCAGACCACTTTGGGGAAACCTGCACCCAAAAATCTGGTCCTCAACAACCCTACCTTCCCCTTTGAGCAGTCAAAGTAAATGTTGTGTGTTCAAAGACACCAAAGCAGAGATGATAGAACAGAGAGTGCAGTGGGGTTGACATGCGTCCACAAATAACAGCAAATTGAATAAGCTCTAAGGTCTTGCCTAGACTTGTGGTCCTTATCATGTCACAGCATTTCTAAACAGTTTTCCAATTAACATACCCAATATAAGGACTGGAAATTCAGATCTAACAAGGTCTCATTAAAAAGCAAGGCACACAGCCCACCACCTGAATTCCATGGACCATGTCAATTGTCACTGGATGTGACGTGATTATATAATAGCAGCCATTCTGTGTCACATAGAAGGTCTTTGTAGTCCAACAGCCTTCCCTAACACTGCCCAGCAAAGTGTGCTTAACTAACAAAACTGAGAGCAAAGTCCTTGTTACAATGATTTTTGCTCCACGTGCTCTTCTAGCACTACAGAGTTTATGGGATTCCTAAATCAAACTTGTACATGAAGCACTTTGTACCTCAATGAGAAAGCATACAGTAAGTGAAGACATTGCTGCACGGTGGGGAAAAACATTTGCTCTCCCCAAAGAAGCTAAATGATGGAATTGATTCCATCATTTTATTTCAAGGGGGATGATGCCTGTGGTGGATTAGGAAAGGGAGTGTATCCACAGTAGAGTGAGTTCCTTAGCTCTTTAATGTGTTGTGCTGCCCTAATAGTATTATAACAGATGTAGTTTCTGAATGGGAGAAAAATGGTTTTGGCCACTTTCTCTGTCTTTTGACTATTTACTTACTACAAAATTGGCTTAATAGTAGTTTCCAACAGCACTTCTGTTCCCAGTTAGGAAAGTCTTGTGAGTTTTTTTATAAAAGAGAATGAGATTTTGGGGACATTCCTATTTTGAATTAGGAATTGGCCCACACCAAGAACTAGAGTTTGATGTATCATCAATTTGTGTCACTTACTGCCATTTCAAATTCAAAGTGACGTGGATTTGGAAGCCTTGCTTAATGCGGAACTGTGGCGAAAGGGCTGAGTTTGGCCAGGGTGGGAAATTGTAATGGCTTGAGAAGGTGACAGTAAACTGGCTCAGGGGAAGCTTAAGCAAGGCCCAAATGATGCTTATGCAAAGGCAGTCTAATGATTTAATACCCCTGCTCCTGGAGAGTGGTGTCATGAAGCCCAGAAAGGCAATCCTTGCTTTGGCCACACAGTCAGTCTTCCAGGGAGCCAAGATCAGCTCATTAGACTGCAAGATCTGCACTCCTTGCAAGAAGCTGGTCCCCATCCAGTTTTGGCAGTCTCAGCCAACCTGTGCCATCTGTCTGGGACAGCTCCCCAAACACACAGCAAAGCCTTTCTCAGAGCTCCAGCCACATGGAGGGAATATTTCAGAGTGCTGGAAACAGTGGTCACTGTCAAGTGCAGTAGCTCTTGGCCCCAGTGGCCACTTTGTCACAGATGTTGCTGAGGTCTTTTGTAATTTCCAGGCACTTCTGGAAGGCAAAAAACAATTCAGTGATCACAAAATTAGAAAAGAAGTGGAAAACTAACATTGGTATGTACCCACCTAATGGTTAATATTCTCCCTCTCCTCTACCTCTGACTGCAAATCTCCCTCCTTTATTGGCAGAATGACCTAGACCTGGGCTCCTGTGAAGTGAAGTTAGTTTGGGTTAGTCTTGCAGGAGGCTCTGGGCTCTGAGTGATGATGGGAAGTGAGATAATAGGGCCCTCAGCAACTCACCCTCACCTTAGCCTCGTCCACTGGGCACATACGGGCTAATGCATTCAGCTCCTATTGCTAAGCAAGTCGGGGTTATAAACATGATTTTCATAATTGGGTTTTAACATACATAGAAACCATCCAGCAGCGATGATAGCTTTGCACCAGAAGAGCCTTAAGACAGAGAACAGCTTCTCTGAAGTGTTAAGAATCCCAGCATATTTATCTTAATAAGTTTTATTACAGCCTGCCAGTTTAAACCTAATGACTAATTTATCGTATAAAATACCAGCAATATATTTTTTGGTTTTGCTAATTAATTATCTCAAACAAAGGTGATATTTATAAAACTGTCCAGAAATGGTATGTGCATTAAAATTGCCTTGCAGCAGGAGATGAAATTATTACTAATATGGGATCAAATTATTGCTGTATTGACTTAGTTATTTTATTACCTCATAATGGATTTCTTCATTATTTTCCCCGGGATTGTAGCATTCATGATTGCATTAAAGTCTGTTAATCTATGCAAATATCATTAGGAGCTACTAATAACCATGGCAACTTTCTTCAATTTCAAGGAATGTGGTAAGTACTCCCAACACATTGTTACGTCCTGTTAGTGTGATGGGATTAACTCAGCCCCCAAGTCCTTGGGACAGTGGGTGGGCAGCAGATCCCTGTCAGCCTCTCATGCTTTACAGACAGATAAAGTAGAAGGTGGGAATTTGTTCTTCTGCTTAAGAGGTGGCACGATTTTCAGCTCCACCACTGTAACCCTGCCTGATGTCAGCCAAGTCACCTGTTATTTTCGAAAAGGGCCATGTCATATAAATTTCTTCTGTATTTCCAGCCCTTCTGTCTATCCTCAAAAACAATAGCCCACCCCATGTCCCCATGTTTTAAAACTGCAGTGGGAATCATTTTCTAAAGGTCAGGTCATGGAGCGGCTTTTCTATATGCAGGACGAGGCAGGAACAAATAGGAAAGGTGAATTTTCAACACTGGGCACAGCTTTCAAGTGTCTCATGTGTGATCTAATGCCTTCACACTGCTGTTTCAGAGGTGCTCAATGAACCATTTTTGAGAGGACTGAGATTGCTGCAGAGCTGTGAGTGTGTCTGTCAGCGTTTGTATCGACCACTTAAAAAAAATGCAGACAAATATTAAGCCTTGAATGTTTCCCTTTTCAACACCTCTGAAAACTGAAAGATGCATGCATGAGTAGAATGATAGGTAAGCGAAAATACACAGCTGCTGAATGGTATAACTATTTATCTCTATTACCTATTAGTCTAATTTCACATCTCCCATACTTAGATAATGAGGTTACAGACACCTTTGTAGTAAGGCACACAGAATTAAATAGAGGAAAATCAGGTTAAATTGGATCACAGAGTGACAAGGATGGAATTTCATCTCCTTACCCATATCTGTCTGTCTGACTATCTGTCTCTCTAAATAATCTAGATCCACAGCCTATATGCAAGCAAGACAATCCCAACAGCAACTTTCCAGCAGTGATTTCCAGCTGATCAGTGCTACATAACTCCTGCAATATTAGGGCTTACATCAGGCTCTCCTGTCATTTCTGAATGGCACCTGAAGCCTCCTCTTTGAATTGACCTTAGACTGAAATCAGTTTAGGTCCAATTATAAGAGCTACTGAACTCTGGGTGCCCTTGTTTTGCTCCATCAGCATGTGCACCACAACTGAGAGGAAGACAGGCTTTGAAAATGTTAAAGGCTTCAGTTTTTGACACAAAAGCTGCATTCTGAACTATAAACAAGCAAAACGGGCTCGAGATGTTGGTGAGCAATCCCACAGCCCCAGGGATTCACAGGAATCCTATCTTCTCCCTTAAACAGTAACAAAAACCTCCCTCCCAAAAATTCTCATTAAAAAAAAAAAAAAGACAATGCCAAAAACACTGCTATGGAGTCAGAGAAAAGTGGTGTTGGATTAGACATTTGCACCTCTGTAAATGAATTAACAAAATGTGATTGTTTTATGTTTGGCTGTCAATCTGCATTTGGCTCAGAGGGGATAATTTTTACTCAGAATGTGTTAAAAAGTAATTCTGTAGATGGTAGCAGTCTTGGACCCTGTGAAACTCTCAGCTTTTTTGCTGATGAGCTGACCTTGTTTTGTTAAATAAAAAGAGACCTAAAACAGCATTCGGGAAGAGAAAAAGCAGGGTGAATCCATAGAAAACAAACAAACAAAAAAAGAAACAAAAAAAAATCCACACAAAAAAAACCCATAAAAACCTCACCATATTCCTTTTTTTCTTTCTTTTTTCTCTGTATTCTTTCTTTCTTCTTTTTTTTTTTTTCTAAAGAAACGCTATTCCTCATGATGAGATGTAAAATAAAGAGAAAAGCAAGCCCAGAAGAAATGCAGGCATTAAATTAGATGGATTGTTTGAAGCTGTTATACATTAATGGCATTATTTCAGGATCAGCTGGGCCCCCTCTCCAGTAGACAACAGAGCCCCAGTCTGCTGGGGGGCTGAACAAAGGACAGTAACAAAGCTGCATTAAGGGTCCTATCAAGGGTCCCTCTGGCTGGTTTCCTCTCACAGCCTGTTGCAGAATACAAGCTCATTAATTCTTTGAGTTTAGACAGATTCTGACAGAAAGGACTCTTTTGCAAAAGCTCTGAATGAACCTCCCAACTTGAACTGCTTTGGAGTTCTGGGACTGGAACACAGGGAGTTGGTCTGCTTGTACTGCTCACCAGAGAAGGGTCCGAACTCTGCAAAATTCTCAGCTCAGCCCTGCTAAGGGGTTACAATAGATTTAGGTGTGAGGAGACAGATATGGAAGGAGGATAAACATTGGATTATTGCTACCCAAAACTTGAATTTAGAAGGAGATTGGTCCCACCAGAATAGTTTGGTCCTGCTGTGCTCAGCATTCCTCTCAGGCCAGTCACAGAGTGCAGTGGTTTTAGCTTAAAATGGAGGGTGTAAAAGCACCTGCCTTGTGCAAATGGTTTGGACAAATGTGGAAGTGGGAGGCAAGGTTTACTTCTTACTACTTATGTCAGGAGGGTTTTGGAGTGTCTGGACTGGCTCTGGATGGATGATAGCTGCTAACAAAAGCTTTGCTGTGTCTGACTGGGTGGCTTTCATGTAATTTGGAACTTAGAAAAAGTCTGTATTCCAGTGGTGATCCCAATGCTGTCATCTTGAGCCCATCTCAAACAGCAGTGGGGGGACACAGTTATGTGGTGTAAATCAGGATGGCTTCACTGATGGTGATGATTTACACCATCTGAGGACCTGGCTTAGCCCTGTTATGGCAGTGAGCTGCACTGCCTAACCTCCCTGAATTCCCTGCATGGATTCTACACATCACTTAACTTCAGGCAAGACTTTCTCACATTGTCTGAATGCTAATTGCACTTCTGTGCTGAAGCTTATATTAAAATTAATATATAATTCCAAAAAAATAGAGATAATTGAACTGACCCAAAATATAACCCCTTTCCTTATTTCTTAAGCACTTGAGTTTTAGCACAAATCTCTTTTACTGCAGGGGCTTATGTTGTGCCGTCAGCAAATGCAAAGAGCAATTAAACATTTAACATGATCACAAGGAGAAGAGGAAAGCTGCTGTTTAAATGCATCAAGAAAAAAAAAAAAAAAAGCCCAGGAAAACAGCCTCTTGGGTCTAATGTAAGACAGAAAAAATGCACTATGGTCAGTTCAATTCAAGAGCTTTGTTTATTGGGGATCTAGTATATTATTTTTAAAAGTAAAATTCCTACTTTGCTGAGCTCCTTAGAAGGAGTTTCAAACAAACCTGTGCCACAGAGATGCCAGATTGAAGCAAATGCTTTCTGGAGGGTAAGCGTTATGATTTTCATCTTCCCTTTGTTTTCCTTAGTTGGGAGGGTTACCTGGATCTTGGGGAATATCTGCTTCTGGAAAGAACTGCACTGCATTTCCTCAAAGGAAGAAAAGAAGCAACAGACTTCAAAACTCTGCATCCCTACTGACATTCCTCATTTTTCTGCTTCACACATTTTCCAGTTCTGCTGAAAGCACGTAATCTAACCTATGAGTCATCTTGGTCAGTGCTGCTGCCTATACCCAAAGTATTAATAAGAGGAATTAGTCCTGTTTGTCAGTCTGTCTGTGAATGAGAGATGTGGGATTAAGTCGCTAGATGATATTTGTTTTCCGTAGCTTATAGAGAATGTTTATTCAGTTGCCATAAGGACATCGGGGTCATGCAGCCTGATATGCAGCTTGAGCAGGCAACAGCAGCGTGCAGCCCCATTCATAGGGGAGTCGAGTCCCTATCAGAGCAAGCAGCCCTGATTTGACATTCTGTTTGTCTGAGGGGACTGCCTTAAAAGTGCCCTTGGAGTCAGTTTCCCCAGTACAAAGGGATGCACAGCAACACAAGCTCAAAAAGACCTCACTCCTGCTAAGGGGTGGATGGGGAAGAGCAGATAAGCAATGGGACTCCAGAGCTGCTGTCAACCTGACAGCATCTTAACAAAGATACTGAGGAATTTTGGGGGGCCTAATTTAATAGGATTTGTCAAGTCTTTTCATGGGATGCTACCGTTTTCAATTAAGTGCTTTTCAGGACAGGCTTTTCGATTCTGGTGGGTGGTTTAGGAGAAGAGGCCAATGCCAGAAAATCAAACAGGTAGTGAGGTTGCTTGTCAGTTATGTGGGGTACCAGGGTATGAGATGCTGAGAAAATCTTTTTGGAAGAGTGTGACACAGGGAGATTCTGAAAAGGAGTGCTGGTCACCAGGAAGAGCACCAGGTGCCCAGAGCAGACTTGACTTTCTGCAGAATTTAAAACAGTGGGATAAGAACAATATGAAGCCATTTCCCTACATTTTAGGAGGGCATCTGAATGCCAGAAAATGGAATCTATTTCTTCCTGATCTGAGATTTTTATGAGTTTAGGATTTAGGGTGCTTTTTTTTTTTTTTTTTTTTTTTTTTTTTTTTTTTTTTTTTTTTCCCCACAGAAACAGCTTTAAAAGTTTTTAGGTTGAATTCAGAAAAAGTGGGAAAACTACTCAAATATCAAATGCTCTCTGCCTGCAAAAGCATTTTCTTCTCAGCTCTTGGATTAACACCTAGACTCAGTCATGCCTGTGACACAGAGAGGCTCTTTATTTGCCAATCTCAATTTTTTCTGGGATAGCAATATCAGACACAAAGCAACATTTTCTCTAGTAGATTGTGCCACTAATACAATAAGGGTCTAATATATTAATGAATAAGGATCTATAATATGCTAATATTTCTGCATCACATTAATATTCTATTAGACTAATGTATTATTATGCTAATAAGTCTATTAAAAATGCAAAATATAATTATTCGTTCTGTATGGCTCCACTGTTGAAATCTGATTCCTGCCCTAGACACACTTGTGTGTATATTTCTAGAAATTGTATTACCTGCTGTGCAAAGTTAGCTTGATCTACACCTGATGTCTTTCATCACGCACCCCAAGCAGCCGAGAGAGGATTTCATAGCCCCAAACCCATTAACAGGTGAAACAGATTAAGTGCTTCAGCAGGTCTGCATTTCAGCAGTGGGAGAGACAGGCTGACAGCCATGCTTTACACATGCCTCACTCTCTCTTGGAATTTACCTTTCTATTCACTGAGCAGCTGATTGAGAGGGAACCCTGCTCTGGGTGGGTGTGCTGTGCCAGAAGGGGCTAACACACCTAAATCCCAGCAAGCCAATCCCTAGGAAAGGGTGCTATGTGAGACCCACTGAAAGAGATCCCTTTTTCTGTGGTGTTTGCTTTTGCCAAGTTTAGGCAGCTCCCTATTCAGTGTGCTGTTCATATGGTTTATTCTTTAATGCCTAATTTCCCCCGACACCATCAAAGGAACCTAATCCACAGGCAGAGAAGGCTGTGACTTCCTCTGGCTAATCTTGAACAACAGGGCACTGTGTATCTGTTTTCCCCCCTGGTCCCAGCCCTGGCTGTGCTTCTGCTCCTCTGTCACTGTTGAAAGAGAATTTTCAGTGTGCCTCCCACTCTCCATAAATATATCCACACTCTTGCTCACTCCTGAATAATGGCATTTGGAGGAGAGGTCTCCTGCAGATCTTTCTACCACAGCTAAATGTTCACTTGATTGCTTTTAGATGGGCCAATTAAGAATGAAAAGGGAAAGTGAACAGCATGGTTTTGTTTTGTTTTAAAAATGTCATGTTTGCCAAGTTTATTAAGCAGGAGCTTAGAACGAATATTGAATTTTCTAAGACTGACTCTGATAAAATTTGGAAAAGAAAGTGGAAGGACATGTCCTTCCCCTTGTCCCTGTCAGGATAACTCACTGCCCTGTATCAATGTCTGCATCTCCTGGCACCAGCCATTTAATGGATGTTACAACAGACATCTTTAATGAAAGAACAGGGTTTCTGTTACCTGTCTGAAGATCTATTCACTTCCTTATTGCCACTGGAAAGAGGCAGAGAATTGAATGGAGAAGGTTTCTGACTAAGAGAAATCCTTTCTAATGGGGAGGAAAGAAACTATGTGGGTAAAACTCATGGTCTGGGGGGGCTGAGGCTCTCTGTCACTGGAGGCTGGTTAAAAATGGGAAAAATGTATCTGTCAGTAATAACACACTTTTATGTGGTTCTACACTGTGCCAATTGAGCTAGGGAGCTTCTCCAGGTTCCTGCCAAACCTTTCCTCTGGTTCTGGCCCTTCTTCCATAGGCAGCAGACCCAAGGCTTTGTGAAGACCCTCACAGCTCTCAGGTATGGTCTCTGTAGGTATCTTTGCTTGTTTGATACCCAAATAGCACAGAAGTTGGGACGGCACAGAATTGTCCTTAAGTGTGGAATAGGAGGAACAGTTTATAAGTGCATCATAAAACTGGGAAGTGTGTTCAATTTTACAAGATTTAAGGCTTCCATAAGCATCTACATGCTTCACACAAGCCCACTGCCTTGTTCGTGAACAACCTTGTTGTGTTGGGGTGCCTGATTCTGTTGGGGTTAAGGATCCTGCTACCATTAGCAGTGGCTGGATTTCTCTTTTAGAGCAAGAGAAATCTAGATCTGTGGAAATGAAAATCTAAACACTTAGTGATTATTTTCTATGGGTATTCAGCATGATTTATATATATATATATATAAAAATATATATATATGCATGAGTGATAATGAACATATGTGGCTCCCTGACTTGAATTTTTCTTAGGACACATGGTGAATGAGTAAGGAACTCAGTTACACAATATTTGAAATAATTTTATTTTTATGGTATCGTATATCTAACTTTGAA